ATCTATTTAATTTTTATATAAGTCGAAAAATTATGTTACCTACGTTACGCGAGTTTTCATTATTAAAATTTGTACGAAAAATGTTAAAATGGAGGAAAAAAGAACTCGCAATTTCCGGATAGCATAAATTTCCAAGATGGCGTCGGCAACAATACGAAATGGAACGAATTCGAATTTGTCGTTGCAATGCGTCACGCGTTACGTCACGAGTTTTACGTCATAGATGTAATATTTCGAGTATTTTCATTGCATTTTTTTTTAAAGGAAAGTTTATTTTTAACAAATTCCGGACTTAACAAATACCGACTCCGACTCCGACCAGGGGCGGACTTGTTGCCGAAAAAGACCCGGAAATTCTGATGTCATCACGTGGCTTCAGAATAAAAAATTCCAAAGCTAAAAGACTCCTCTAAGTAATATATAAATATGTATTCGATAATTTTTACTTTTCCGGCTGTTATATATAACAGAAGGAAAGTAGTGCTGGGTCAAAAAAATGACCCCTCCTAAATATTTTTGGACGCAGGACACCTTGAAATTTCGATATATGCAAAAGATTCGAGGTTTTTCTATATGTGTGGATGTTAGACTGTGTGGGGGGCATGATTTCCTTCACCCTGTTTGAAGTCTAATAATTTCTGTGATCAGAGTGGGTCAGAATCGGAATCAGATGGTTTAACACAGGAGTTAATTATTAAGCGTGAAAGTGGTTGAACTAAATCGTGTCCCCACACACATTCTAACATCTTAGGCGAGAACATCTTAACAAATTTTACTGTACTATTATAAGATGACAAAAAAAGCTTACTTTGAGGGTAGTGACAAGTTTTATTTTATTTTTTTAAATTTTAAACGTTAATAACGAGTAAAATATTCATTAAGAGATATGACACATGACCACTTTTATCGTCTTTATCGTCTTTGTGCGTGCAAAGCCTGGTAGCTAAAATTCCATCATTTTCTACAATGTTATCAGCAGTTTGTAATAATATATTTGTAGTTTTCTCTGTGCATCTGCAACCAATTAAAACACAATTATCTTACAAATGTAAACTATGATATAAACAAAAAATTGTAGGATTACTTACCGAGTGTGCACCGTTCGACGACGCCATTGCTTAAACTTGCTTTCGTCATGGAGCATGTCATCGAATGGCGCTCGCGTGCTTTTTGATAAATTATTTTTTTTGCGAAAAATTCGCTGAACTTTGGAGACATCATTAATATAAATATAATTTTTATGGCCGTTAAATAATAAATGGTTTTTAGTAGGTCCGCTGCTCGTTTAAACTCAACGGTTTGTGCAATATCCGCTATTGGTCTAGATTCGACCAATCCTGTCGCGACACGAGTCGGCGATGACGTTTTACCGTATTATACGAGTCTCTTTTAGCATGTTTATACAAATACGATCGCAATTTTTTCGCCGTGTTATACGAATTAGTATTATATGAATCCGTGTTATAGGGGGTCTACTGTATACTACCGTTATAAACTTGGGGTTACAGGAGTTACGTCAGATCGGATATATCGTTGTAAAAAATTTTTTTTCCTTCCCTCTTACTTTATATTATTTCAGATAAAAAATAGAATAATTATTTTAAAATTTAATTATTTTTGCGTCGAAAGTTTATTATAAAATTAATTTAAAAGGCAATTTAAAAAATTCTATAATTAGAAATTTATAGAACAACAGATGTCGCCACTCAACTCCAATATACAGAAGGAAGAAAAAAATTGATTTCAGTTCGAATTGCATTCTCGAAAAGGTAAAAATCGAAAATTTATTAAAATGAATCATTTAACTTATACTTTTATATGATGAAAAACATAATCTATTGAAATAAATTATGTTTTTAAACTTTAAAATAATTAAGCGAATTTTCTTATATTTTGAATTTTATAAAATTAAAAACGTATTTGAATTTTCTGTGTTTTTTAAATGGAATTTTAAAATAATATTCCATATTTCATTTATTAAAAAACGGAGAAATTTAAAATTTAAATAAATCGCCTAACGTTAAAGATTCTAAATTTTATACCGAATCGTTATTTAAAATCAGCCAATTAAATGTTTGACTGTCACGTGATTTCGGATATAGCTTTTTATTGGTCAATCAGAAAACCATTCAAAATGGCGCTTATAAGAGCAATATTCACTTTAGTTTATGCTGTAGCACTGCGATTTTAATAATACAGTACTTCATAAGTAACATGTTATATTTTACCCTTCCAGATGTCTGTTTCAAGAAAGAAAGAACATGCTTCAAAATCACAAAAGGAAAGATCTGATTGGTTTGGTTCCAACTTCCTGGAACCTTTCAAAGATGATCCGTTCTTTCAAGAGCCAGATCCTCCAGAAATATTTAAGAATATCGTTAGAGATGACAGCATTTTCCCAAATTTAGATCCTTTGAATCCTGTCAGTTCTGCAATGGAGGAGTTCCGTAGCAATCTGGGTCATTTCCAGATTGCATTTCCAAAATTGCGCTTCCGACCATTTGACGTTCCTTCTCCACGCTTTCCGACAGACGCGACCGACTGCCATACTTTCACCACTTCTTCCGTGATGACATACCAGAAGAAGGGAAACGAAGAACCGGAAACGTACCAGGCATCGGTGTCAAATTACGAGGGGTCCTTAGGAGCGGGACAGAGCAGAAAGTGTGTCAGAGATTCGAGAACGGGAACCGAGAAGATGAGTGTCGGATATCGTCTGGGAGAGAAGGCTCGAGTTTTGGAGAAACGCAAAGACCGTAGAACCGGGAAGATAGAGGAGGACCAGCAGTTGATCAACATTGATGAATCGGAAGTGGAGGATTTTCAGGCAGAATGGATGAATAATGTGGGAAGTCGCAATCCCTTCTCTATTTCTAAATTTCACACTAGAGCAATGTTGGAAGACAAAAAGAAATAATGCAGATTTTAATGTTATTGGGCACAAACTCCTCCAAAATTTCACGTCGATTAATTTGTAACATCGGATAATTCAAAATTATAGTTTTATATGCAATTCAAAAATATTACAAGATATATCCAACAAAAATTTAAATATACACCTATATTTTTTTAATGGCACTGTAATTAGAACTTGGAGTATACAAAATTTAATGTAAATATTAATCATTAAAGAAGTTTTGAGCACTCAAATTTTTGTGTCTAATGATTAAAATCATGTTTTAACACAAAATTGGTGTGGATTTGTGTTTTTGCAGATAGCAAATGGCACTTGTGCTAACAAATTTAATTCTCAAAGTCAGCAAACCACATTTCTCCAGCTTCTGACATTCTGAACATGGGGAACGGTTCAATGTAGGGGTGCTTCTTTGCATGCATCATATATTATACCGTATAATAATTACCATTCTTACAAATGTAAACTATGATATAAACAAAAAATTGTAGGATTACTTACCGAGTGTGCATTGTTCGACGACGCCATTGCTTAAGCTTGCTTTCGTTATGGAGCACGTCATCGAATGGCGCTCGCGTGCTTCCTGATAAATTATTTNGTATAATAATTACCATATAACACACGTAAACTGATTTTCTTGTATTATGTATTATTATAGTGTTGAGTGTTGTATGGAGTTTATAATTAATTTTATTTATAATGAGAGAAAAAAAGGTGAGCAACTAAGAGCACTTTAGAACACGTAGGTTTGTGAGAAATCCAACATCTAGGGTTCATGATAGCTCTCCACGGTTATGTTAATCAGAGAACGAATCTTAAATTGAACTTTTTAAAGGTCTTTTAAGTGCCCATAGAGAGGAAAAGTTGGGTCCTCTCCTTCATAACCTAGCTACCCCCATTGTGGGCCTGGCCAAATCTGCAATAGATATGGAAGAAAGGACCTCTTAGTGCTCTCAGGACACAGAGTTAAAAATGGAAAAAAAATTTGTTTTGGTCACAAGGTTTTATTAAAAAAACAAGNTAGTGCTCTCGGGACACAGAGTTATAAATGGAAAAAAATTTGTTTTGGTCACAAGGTTTTATTAAAAAAACAAGATAAAAAAATAAATACTTTATTAGAAATTAAATTTTGAGCATAACTACATAATTGTAATAAAAATTCATCAATTTATATAGAGTAACTGTCATAAACGGAAAGTCTCCAAGGCAGAATTTGCATACCTAAGCTGTCTATAAAATACTAAAACTACTGGATTTGCCCTGACGTGACTTTTATCAAAATCTATCACACGTAGTCCTACCAGATTACGAGCTGTGGACAGGGCAACATAGGCCTGGCCGCTCTCGAAAACTCTCCCCAGAGAAATTTCTACACAGTCTAATGTCATTCCCTGGAAAAAAAATGCACAGTGTTAAAGATTCCACTTCAAAATATAATTTAAAAGAGGATGTACTGTACTTATAATTAGTATTACCTGAGATTTATGAATAGACATTGCCCAACCCAGCATTAAGGGCAACTGTCGCCTAATCAAGTGAACTCCTCCAAGAGCTTTGACAAGCCATCTTTCGTATGCGACAGTTTGTTTTACTCCACATAAAAATTTGATAATTGGTAGCCCTAAAAATATTCGTTTAGGTAAGTATTAACTATTATAACAATTATAATTACTGTAATATCTGTAAAATTACACAAATATGCCCATCTACTGTATGTTTGCATACTTGTGAGTGGGACAAGAGAGAACCAATGTTTATTGATTGTATGGACATTATAAACGTTTGATTTAGAAAATCTCCATAGACTTTATAGATGGAAGTAGCTGTCAAGGAAATAGTAAAAGCCAGAGTAACTGTAATGTAGTCACTGAAAGATGTAGAACTGTAGTCAAGGATTTAGCAATGAATCTGAGAACAAATGCAACACTGACTATATCACATTGCCAAAATAAGAGTGATTCTTGATATAGTAAAAAAAGGAACAAGGAAAAAGTAGAATATGTGAAACACACATCGATATTCCACAATACACAAGTAGAACAAGGAAAGTAAATTTGCATAACAGAAGCGCTGAGTAGAATTAAAGAGAAAAGGAAATGCATAGTTGCAACCCTCAGTCTTTTGAGCTGAGAATCAATCTTTGGAAGCAGTTGTCAGCCTAGAGCTAGAAATTTTGTTTCAAAATGTAGTTGATATATGAGACTATTCTTTGGTATGAGAAAGCAAATTTGAAAGGTCTTGTAAATTAACTTACAGCCTCTAGGCTGTAAGAAATTAATTTTTTGTGTTGTTTTTTTCCTATAGATAATAAGTATCACAAAAAAAGTTAATTATATATGGTGCAATGTATCTACTACTACAAATAATAATTTGTCTATACGGAAAAGCCAATATTATAAACCTATTATTGTGATAAAAAGGGTTAAGATTGAATTTTGCAAATTGTGTTGACAATCTTTCTACAAATTGTTTTTATTTCTCAGCTCTTGCATTCTGAAATCAGCCTTTCCTTTCCATCAAGTCAGCGCCTCATTTGTAATGTAAAATTAACAAGTACAAAAGTGAATAAATAGTAATACAGAGAAACAAAGAAATTAAAAGAGATATCCAATAAAGAGAAGCAAAACAATCCAACAATTTGTAAAAAAAAAAAAAAAAACATCTTTGATACTATGAAAGGAAATATTAGATTTGCATAAACAGTGGGGCATTATAGCTACATGGGGACCTAGGTAAATTTATATTAGGGGCTCCATGTACAGTGTTGACTTAAACATTTTTGTTCAGGGAAATTTTTGGGGAATCCCCCGGTATCCTTGTTTGTTTTTTAACATGACCTTTGTGCAGTACTAGTGCACCCTGCGCTTGTGCCAAATCGGCAATCTAGGGGCCCTAGACATTGCCCAAATTTAATTTTGATATTCTTACCACAGTAATGTGTTTATAAAAGATTGGTAATTTTGTTGGGGCCCCAGGCAATTGCTCTTTTTGCCTGTAGGATAAAACAGCACTAGGTATCTAAAACCATAAATTTAATTTTGATACAGAAAACACTCAATAAGGTGTAGTAGTAAGGAAAGGAATAAAGTGAGAAAAGATAGAAAGAATACAGTAAAACCTGCTAAGTCGAACTGCATTAATTTGAAGCTGACTACATGTCCCAGACATAGTATGTAGGTTTTCCATATAATGTGGATCTTGTTTAAGTTGAAATTGCCAGTATTTTTAACTCAAACCTATTATCCTGTGTCACCTTTATCCTCAAATAAATCCATTAACTTCAGTTTCTCTTATATTCTGTGTGAATACAGTCAAACCTGGGTTTTCAAATGTAATTTGTTCCTAAAAGTTGTTCAAAAACCAAAACAAATTTTCCCATAAGAAACAATATGGAATAGATTAATCTGTTCTTGATCCCCAAAATAAAACCTTTTTTTTTACCTTTTTAGCTGTAGATTGTTTTCTCATAAAAGATCTACTTACAGTATTCAAATTTACGTCCTGAACTGTTATATATATATAACCTATTGGACTAATAATTTTTAATGAATCATTTTCAATTGATGCTCCAAAAATGCTCTAATGACTTCTGGGAATTGATATTAATAATTTGGGATCCCTCTCTAGAACAGGGAACTTACCCTATTACTCTCTGATCTTCATTGCAAGAAGATCAGAGAGTAAAAGAAGAGACTGGACTAAAAGAGAATGATTCAAGAACAAGAGAGATTAGATAGATGTTAGGATAAATATTTGTCAGTTCTTTATCTATCTATATTTAGCACATTTTATGTAATCCTCTAGAGAATGTACATTTAGATTATTAATAGTAAATTATAAGTACACAAAGGGATTCGATACCTTCTCGTTGCTGATCAAATCCAATTACTACACCACGAGCTCCATTCACAAGACTTTTCTGCAGATCCATATGAAGTCAGTATGCTGAATGAAACAGCAGAATACGGTATTTATGACAAGTTTTATTGACAAAACAGTAGAGTACAATCAAACTGTACATCGAATCAGTGGCTGCACTACTTTAGAGTAAATGTTCAGTGTGACGACCACCAACTTCGTTACATAATGTGCAACGACGAACCATGTTTTGTCCGACTCTCCGTAAGATGCCACGCTCCCCTCTGATGGTATTAAATGCTGTAAAGATGCGCTCCGTAAGCTTATGAACTGTTCCTACAGGTGTTGCGTACACAAGGGACTCACGTTGACTAGCTGTGTGTTTACATCACAACGCCAGTGGATGCAAGGGGTGACCTGAAGAACGACAAGCACTGAGTACACAACGTCCTGTACACAGGCTCAGTTAGACCACTGTAGTTGTGTGTTTACAGTCTTTCATCCGCAGCAATAACATGACGTCAATGGATGGAAGGGTAGCTACCAAAGTGAAGGGCGGTCAAGCACTTCCTACCGCTGTAGACACTTTAGTTCAAATTTCCGATTATAGGTTCCTTATACCAAAACGTTCAAAATTTCATCCTTTACAATCCCCCAAATTTTTAAAACGTCATTCTGATACACCCTGTATATGGACATTCGGTGTATCTGCATCAATTTTCTCTAAATCAAAGCGAGTCATTCGCAGGCGAAGCGATTCATTTTTTGAACTTAGAGACTTAGCGACTGCGGCTTTTCTTTTCAGTTTTAAGGCCATCCTTTTCCATTGTATCAAGAACTGTTGTATCAAAATTTAATAACTTTTGGATCACTTATTGGGAGAGAAAATTGGCAATTCCAACAGGATAATGCTTGTAGTAGACAATCCACAATTTCACAAGCAATGTCGCCTCCGTGCTTGTGAAGTTGTGGATTGTCTACTGGAGCGAACGACTGATGGAAAACGAAAGCAAAGTATCTTAATCTTTGTTAAACGTTGCAACTTTATTTATATACTTAAGTGTAATGAAATTAAATAAAACTTTATTACTTTTGTATAATACAATAAGTGTTTTGCGATTTTATATATGAAAATAAAAAAGTAGCGTATTTTTAAGATTTGTAGCCTGAAGATAATTATCACTAGCCCAAAAAGTAGCGTGTCGCCAATTTGAAATTTTTGTAGCGAGGGCACTTAAAAAGTAGCCCAATCCGCTACTTGTAGCCCAATCTGGCATCACTGTACGTACATGTAAAAATGTACGTAAAATGGCAGCACTGTCGATTCGATTGTTGGCTAAACAAAGAACCGTTGAAAAATTTACTAAAATTAAAATTAATATAATTTACGATAACT